TGAAATATTGCATTTGAAATATTTCATTCACATTGCTGCTAGTGTGAAACCCCTATCTCGGAAATTTCTTTGCTGCTGAAAAGATTTTTCTGAAAAGAATTTTTTTTTCCGGGAAAAATTCTCGATGGCAAAGAATCTGAAGAAAATCAAATTGATTAATCGGAAGAAAAATGTATTTTTTTCTTCGGTGCAGCTAAAAATAAAAAATTTGTTTGTTTTTTTTTTCTAATCAAGATTCTACGAAAGAAACAAATCAAGCAACAGGTTTTCTTGGAATGAATTATGTCGTCATCTTTCTGGTCATCATCATCATTAGCATTATCAGTTGATTTTCAACCCTGTTTCATCTCTGATTAGCTAGAATTTTTCCATTTTGTTTTCTACAAAAAAAAATAATTAATAAATAATTCAACATCTGCAATTGACGTCAACAAACGAAAACAACGATGCTAATGATGATTGAATTCAAACAACATTGAAAATCAATACGAATCTGATGGAAATTTGAATGAAACCTTGCTTTTCAAATGAAATGATAATGATAATTGAACAGAATGACAAGAAAGTTCTACAAGTTTGTCGAATGTCATTGTCATCCGATTTTTTTTTAATTTTCTCTCCATTGAAGATATTTTGTTTCATTTTTTCATCGCCACCACCATTATCATTATAATTGTAACAAAATAAAGAGAAAGAGAAACAAAAAAAGTAAAAGTAAAGAAAGAGAAAACACGCGTTTGCATATATAAGATATTTATGCATTTGGAACAACAAAAGAAAAACTTTTTTAACATTGTCGTTGTTTATCGGGGTATTTTCTGTGCTCAAAAATTGGCCAATTTATTTTATTTAATTTTTTCGTTTAAAATGTTTACAAATTATCAAAGCACCCAGGTATAATTATTTATTCAATTTTTAATTTGACCTAATAACGTTAGTTTAGTTTAGTTTAGTTGTTTTTGACTAAAAAAAAAATTCAAATCTACGGATTCAATTCGGTTAAAGGTGACCGATTTGTTTTTTTTTTTTTGCATTTTATTCAATTACCGCAATACATTCCAATTCGATACGTGCATTTTTCGGTAATGATTGAACACCAATTGTTGAACGTGCTGGAAATGGTGATTGAAAAAATTCTTTCATAACATCATTTATGGCGGGGAAATCATTAAAATCCCGTATAAAAATTGTTAATTTTACAATATCCGACATTCGTGCACCACCCGATTCAACAACAGCTTTCATATTATTAAATGCTTGTCTTGCTTCAGCTTGAATTGATTCGGTTAATAATTCACCTGTTCGAACATTCATACCTAATTGACCTGATAAATAAATTTGATTACCAACTTGTACTGCCTGAGAATATGGGCCAATTGGCATTGGTGCTAATGGTGTTGACAAAATACGTCTTGGACTCATTTTTTCGTTGATTAAAATTTGAAAATTTCGTCTAAATGGATAGAAATTTGATGATTTTTGAATGAAATTTCGTAGGAAAATGATGCTCATTGAAACGCTGATGAGAAATGAAAATGAAAAATCAAATTTTTTTATTTTGTAACCAATATTCGAATCATCAACCAAATTATCGTACTTTTTTCCCGATTTTTTTCTAATTATCAATATCAGTTCATTTTCTAGCAGAAAAGCAAAAACAGACTGATATCACAATATTATTATCAGTGTCTCGAATGATATTTTTTTTCCAATTTCTAATTTCATTTTTTAAAGTTCAATATCGATCGCTATATATAATCGACGACGAAAGAAAATCTAATCCAAATAGAAATTCAATACATTCGATTTGATTTTTGATTTTTTTGATTTTTGAATGTTCAATGTTCAATGATGTTAGTTTAACCATGAAAACAAAAATTGATGGAAAAAGAGAATGTTGATGATGATATAACCATATCATCATCATCATCATCATTATCAAATGGTAATGATTATGATTTGAAAAAGGAAAAATTTTCATTTTGTTACTAAAAATAAATGAATTTTTGTTATTGAATAATTGATGACGATCATTCAGAAAATTTTGTTGAAGATAATTGGCTATTTGTTAACATTGAAATTATTATAATTTGATTGATTCGATTGATCGAAACCTTCAGTTGTCAGTTTTGTTTTCGTATTTTTTTTTATTATTCAATTTCATTGCCCACAAATATCATCATCATCATCACATGATGATGTAATAATTTTTTTTTTGATTTTTGATTTTTGATTTTTGATTTTTGAATAATTTAGTTATTTTTTTTTACTAATAAATAAATTTGAAAAAAATTTAGTTAATATTAACCAAATAAAATCTTTTTGTCTGCGTGTGTGTATGTGAGTTGCAAATAACCAAACTATATTCAATATAATATATGGTTATTTTAGTGGAAAAAAATGAAAAAAA